CCTTCCACCAACCCCCACCACCGAGTTCTGGGACAAGGGGAAAGGTAAGGCCGTCTTCGCTGACCCTCAGAGCCTGAGGCAGAAGGCAGTAATAAGAGGAAGTCCCCCTTGATTCGGGACCACCCTCCCACCCCCGAAATCCGTGATGAAGAGTCACAAGCATCTGAGGTCGGCTCGCGTGGTGAAGTCCAAGCCCCATGGTGGAGTCAGAAGATGAGGAAGACACGATTGTCAAGGTATGTCGTCTCGTTCTTCTTTTACTTGTCTCACATTTTCTTGCAGCCGTTTTCGGGTGGAGTGCCGGAGGTCGTCGTTCCCTGCTCTCCACAGTTATCGCAAGGATGCCCAATTCGCCTCAATCACCCAGGGTTCCGACGAAGAAACCTTTGGCCCTGCCATGGTAAGTCACGCTTATGTGTCCGGGACTCGAGTGTATGCTTACCATTTACCAGGTGATTGCCAGAAGTCGCCCAGCAGTTGTCGAGCCCTCCCAGCCAACTCCCGAACCCCCGGTGCAGGCACCCCCGGTCATCCCTGCAGTTGACATTCTCATTCCTGGACCGGTGAGTACTTTTATATATCTCAAGTGTATCCATACACTAATACAACTCACAGAAAAACCCATGCTACGCTTGCAACAAGCTACAATGGCCTTGCGCAACTCGGATGGACAAGAGGACCAGGGCTCCGTGTATGTCGTGCATCTACTGCACGACAAAGAAGATCAAGTGCACCCCCGCATCCATGGGATCCCCGCCTCCTCGCAGTGGTGCCTCCTCTACCACCTGGAAGACAAGGTCCAGGACGCCATCCAGGGCTCCCTCCAGGGCTCCCTCCAAGGCTCCCTCCAAGGCTCCCCCCCGCATCCCAAACCCCCGCCCCCTCCCAAGCTCCCCTGCCTCCCAATCCAAGGCCCAAACTCGAAGTCAGTCTCGTGGCATGGCCGGAACTCCCGGTGTCACTGCGGTGACAACCCCCAAGACCCAGACGCGTGGTCGCAGCAAGACCATCACTGCCATCAAGGCACCTGCACCTGAACCAGCTCATAAGTCACCTGAGGTTTATTTTTATCATTGTCTGACCTTAAGTTTCCATTCTAGCTCTTCCGGCCTCGAGTTCGGCAGTCCCGGCTGCAGCACATGGCCCGGCAGTCCCTGCTGCAGCACTTGACGTGCCCATGCCGGATCTCCATTCCATGGCCATTGCGATTTGTCAAGGCGCAGCTCAAATCGCTCTTCTGGAGGATCGTGTGGCAGAGCAGGATGGTAAGATTGATACCCTGCAATGCCTTCATGAAGGCCTTAGGCGCGAAATCATGCTCCGGCACCCCTCATTCCCACTGCCCAATCCTCCTGCCAATGCATCATCCTTGTTGCTTGATCAATCCGGCCCCCCCACCATGTCACCCGCCGAATCTGCACTCCCACCTCTCATTGATCTCACAATGGAAGGCATTGCTCCCACAACCACAACCACAACAGTCCCGGATGCCTCTGCCATTGATGGCCTCCTGTTTGATTACAACCAAGTGGCTCATCCAGAGGATCCAGATGCATCTGGCGAAATTGTGGACCCAGGTGATCTGAGCAACCTTGTCCCAGAATATAACTCCTCCGATGACATGGATGTTGAGGTTGAGGTGAAGGTTGAAGAGGCTTCTGAGGAGGTTGACATGGCTACATAATTGCATAGTGATAGATGTATATACAAGTTTTCAATGAATGTAACCTCTGCCAGTCCATTGATCGAGTGACTGAGTTCCCAGTACCGAGACCCGACACCCGAGATTCGGTACTTGGTACTCGGTGATTCGTGTGTATCATTGGTACTCGGGTGTCGGGTGTCGGTACTCGACTCGAAACTTGAAACTCGAACACACGAATCACCGAGTACCAAGTACTGAATCTCGGGTGTTGGGTGTTGGGTGTTGGGTGTTGGGTGTCAGTACTCGGTACTCGGTACTCGGGTGTTGGGTGTCAGGTGTTGGGTGTTGGGTGTCGGTACTCGATTCGAAACTCGAATCAAGAAACTTGAAACTCGCATAAATCTGAGTACCGACACCCAACACCCGACACCCAAGTACCGAGTACCGAATCTCGGGTGTCGGTACTCGGGTGTCGGGTGTCGGTACTTGACTCGAAACTCGAAACTCGCAACTTGAATCTTGAAACTTGAAACTCGCATAAATCTGAGGTTTGAATCCCGAGACTCGAATCACCGAGTGCCAAGTACCAAGTACCGAATCTTGGGTGTCGGTACTCGGTACTCGGTAGTCAGCACTTCGTTTCAGGTTTCAAATTTCAAATGTCCACACGAATCAACCGAATCTCGGGTGTCGGTACTCGGGTGTCGGGTGTCGGGTGTTGGTACTCGACTCGAAACTCAACACTCGAACACATGAATCACCGAGTACCGAGTACCAAATCTCGGGTGTCGGTACTCGGGTGTCAGGTGTCGGGTGTCGGGTGTTGGGTGTCGGTACTCAACTCAAAACTCGAACACACGAATCACTGAGTACCAAGTACCGAATCTCGGGTGTCAGTACTCGGTACTCGGGTGTCAGGTGTTGGGTGTCGGGTGTTGGGTGTTGGGTGTTGGGTGTTGGGTGTTGGGTGTCGGGTGTTGGGTGTCGGGTGTTGGGTGTCGGGTGTTGGGTGTCGGGTGTCAGTACTCGATTCGAAACTCGAAACTCATATAAATCTGAGTTTTCACGATATTATGTCCGTACATCATCAGTAAGTATACAAACAACAACTGACAAAAAACTGCTACATGACATAGAGCTATCTTCCAAAAATATATATGGCTGTGCATGAGGATGGAAAGGGAAGAGAAAACACAGGTGATTTGGGGGGATTTGGAAGAGGGGAATGAAATGGCGGTAAGATTTGAGATGGAGAACACGGGTGAAGAGAGGAATACAAGGGTGAATGAGAGTAGTACAACGGAACAGATTCGGGGTAAACCCTTAGCTAAGAGTTGCAGATGAGACTCATGTCAGCCAGCAACAAGACTCGCATAGTAGAGTCGATTACAGATGAAGCAGGGGAGTTGAATGGGATGATGTATCGAGACTCTAAGAGTCGAAGCTGTGTGAGTGCCTTAAGCGAGCATGACTCGGTACTCGGTACTCGGGTGTTGGGTGTCAGTACTTGACTCGAAACTCGAAACTCCTATATGATACGTATCTGGGCCCACCCATCTGTCTAATATTACCTGACATCGGCCCACCCGTCTAGGTAAAATTCCCCACTTCGGCCCACCTGTCTATCTGATATTTCCCTATGTCGGCCCACCTGTCTATGTTATAAATATTTCACCTCACCCTCGGCCCACCCATCTATATAATAAATATTTCACCTCACCCTCGGCCCACCCATCTATCTAATATACCCCTACGTCAGCCCACCTGTCTATGTAATAAATAATTTGCCTCACCCTCGGCCCACCCGTCTACCTAATAATACCCCACGTCGGCCCACCCGTCTAAGTAAAATACCCCATGTCGGCCCACCCGTCTATGTAATAAATATTCCACTGCTCCCTCGGCCCATCTGTCTATATAATAATATTTGCTATACATCTCTCCTCAGGTCTATAATATATGTCAATCCTACTCTACATATTACCCATATGGGCCCACCCATCTCCATAATAATATTTCTCCCGGCCCATCCGCCATCGTCGATGATATATATAACATCAGCATAGATGGGCCCACCCGTCAACATTGGGAATATACATAACATTGGCCCATAATCCGCTGGCCTGTATTACACAGGATATTATGTAGGTCAGGTGACCCGTATAGTACAGGATTTGTCACTGAAGGGGCTCCCATCGCTGGAGACACACTTTTGACACGTTAAAACAACGCGCGCTACTGCTATATCAAAGCCAGCAACGTCGGCTGTGGCACCTAACAGCAGGTGGCCCGCATGGCTGGAGTATAGCAGAGCTCAATCAAGATCTCATCCTTGAAGCTAGAGAAGAAATCTTCAATGAAGACTGTGATCTAGCCCTCACCACGCTCAAACAGGTACAGATGTCCAAAGTTCTATCCCTGCAAACCTAACCAAAAATTTCATTCTATCAACCACATGCATCATGCCTGCTCTTACTCCTTCTATTGTTTCGACATCGCGCTCAATCAACAAAAACCCAACCTACCTTGACCATCATGCATCAATTGGCTATCAAACGCCCACATCTCGGACATCACACGCCACCATTACTGTTGCATCCTGCCAAAACCAACCGCATTCGCACATGCATCAGGCTGCTGCTGTCACCAATGCTAATTCTAGCCACAACGTGCAGCCTAGCTCCAGCCGCCCCTTCAGCAATCAGAAGAGACCTTGTTCCTTTCGGGATCCCACCAACCCATCCTTCCCTCTCCTGTGCTGCGCCGTATGCCTTGGACATAACTCACACTGCACGGTCGAATGCACTACCCCGAGAACTTGGGACAACCTCTTTGGCACATTCTACGAATGCATTAACAAAGCTCTATGGACCAAAGATGGACAACAGCTCTGCACCTCATGGCAACATGAAGAAGGATGCACCAACAACCACCACAGTAGCAAACATGTATGCTCAGGCTGTGGCGCATCCGATCATGGAGCCCAGCGCTGCACTAGAGCACAGAAAGCTTAACCCCCTTACCCCCTACATCGCAGACGCATGGGAGCAAGCACTCCATAACGCTAATGCAATCAAAAGATTTGCTAAGGTTCCTGAAGGCTTCCGATCAGGTTTTCTTTTAGTTACACACGTACAAAGCCCACTGAATAAGGACTCTGTTAATCAATATTGCATGGAATTTGATACCATCATCCAGAAAGAGTTTCACAAAGGGAGATACATAGGTCCTTTCACACCTACAACACTTAAACATATCATAGGCCCCTTCCAATCCTCCCTGCTGTCCATAATACCTAAACCTGGAAAACCTGGTAAATTCAGACTTGTCCAGAATTTCTCCTTCCCACATTCTACAACTCCCACCTACCCCAACCCATCTATTAATTCTCACATCGATGCCAATCAAATTCCCACTACCTGGGGCAAATTTTCCGTTATATATCTACTAATCTTGCGATTACTGCCAGGCTCAGAGGTTGCGACAAGAGACGTTGCAGAAGCTTATTGAACCCTTCCCCTACACCCCTCCCAATGGCCAGCAGGAATAATTCGGGTATCAGATACCGAAGTGGTACGTCAACACCTGCATGGCCTTTGGAGCCACTCCATCGGGAGGAGCATATGGCCATGTAGCAGATGCAGGTGCTGAAATAATCAGACACCACGGAATCAAACCACTCAATAAGTGGGTTGACGACCATTTATTTGTTTGTATCTGAAAAGAATCAATAGCTAATTACAATAGTCAATGAGCACTATGGCACACTGACATAGTGAAAAGAGGCATGCATCAGTCAGGCAGCAGGATCTGGTTCAGAGGTTGCATATTTGACGACAATTCAATAGAGGAATTTAGCGAAGATTGTTCATGGCCCCTCAAAGACCTATCAGACCAATCACCCAGATAAGAACATGACAACATGTTTGGGTACTGCCTTGAGGACGTCGACAAACTCTCTGTCAATCTCAGCATCAAATGGGAAAAAGAAAAAGACCAACTATTTGTGCCCTCAACTATCTGTATCAGTTTCCTTTGGGACGTAGGTAATCGCACCGTCTCGCTAAGCCCATCAAAAGTAAGCAAATACCTAATAGTCATTCACCAATAGCGCCGAAGACCTGTTCACATCCTCCAAGATGTACAAGAGCTGTATGGAAAGCTACTACATGCATGTCAAGTCGTGCGGAAGGGTCGCACTTACCTAACGACACTAGAATCCATGCTGAGTATATGCGGGAAGAAACCTCGCCTCCCACACCGCCCAAGCAAAGGCATTGAGGATGATCTTGATTGGTGGTTGGACTTGCTGCAAAGGGGAGGCATCTCAAGGCCTATATACCCCCCAACCACTTACTCCAACCCACAAGCATTCTCAGATGCTAGCTTGAGCATCAGGATAGGCATTGTGATCGGAAAAAAGTGGAGAGCGTGGAGACTCATCCCCGGCTGGCAAACCCTCAATGGCAAGCACAACATTGGCTGGGCAGAAGCTGTGGGCTTCGAACTGCTCGTCAGAACTCTCGCCACTATCCCCAACATGGGCAACACACTTACAGTATATGGAGACAACACCGGAGTGGTTGAAGGATGGTGGAAAGGACGACATTGCAACCAGGAAGTCAACATTGTCTTCCGCTGCATTCACAAGCTCATCCAACGCGCACCCCAGCGTTTCGCAGTCTGCACTGTTTACATTGCCAGCGAACAGAACCCAGCAGATGCACCATCCAGAGGAATCTACCCCCCCAGAGAGCTTCTACTCCCTCCAATCGACATTCCTCCTGCCATTAGACAATTCATTGTCGATGCAACCAAACCCCCAACAGCTACCAAACTCCGCCTCCTGCACAATGGGTGTTACCCCCGTCCAGCTACCAAAGTCATCAACCAAGCTCTGCTCAGGCAACAAGGCGCAGATTGCCTACAGAGGTTCCGAGAAGAAGAAGAAACCCTCCTCAACTCCCTCCGGAACCGCACCAACCCAAGCAACTGAATGCCAGCATTTTGATGCCATGCTAGCCAATGCCATCGCCACCAATCATTCAAACATGCAACCATACAAACCTAATCTCACGCCCACACCCTCGCCCCTCCGCCCGCACTGTCTAGCTCGAGACAGGTTAAGTCTATGGATACCCTCTGGTGAAGACACTCGCAGAACGGCAACCACCAACGACCCTCTTGAATTCTCCATCTCAGATACACAGCTAAACCGAGTACTAGAAGTCATGGGAGCCTCCTGGGCTAACACCATGAAAGAGACGTACAGTGCCAGATTGCTAGTATTCCATGTATACTGCAATGTGCATCAAATAACAGAAAATCAGAGATGTCCCATTTCCCATTCTTTACTCCTAGCCTTTTTATCTAGTTGCACAGGATCATATTCGAGATCCACGCTCAGTAACTATGCAACAGGACTCAAAGCCTGGCATACACTGCATGGCCGTCACTGGCTCATACCACCCAGTGAATTGAAATCCATCCTAGATGACGCAGCCAAATTCGCTCCCTCTACCTCCAAGCGCACTAAATGCACCCCGTTCACCCCCACCATCATCATCAATATCCACAATCACTTGAACCTCAAAGATCCCAAAGATGCCGCCATATTTGCCTGCATAACCACATCCTTTTACTCAATCGCTCGCCTAGGAGAATTCACGGTTTCTGCAATGAAAGACTTCAATCTGCACAGACATGTCACTCGAGGAGACGTATCAGAAGGGCGAGACAGAAACAGTTTCACTATAACCAAATTCCATCTGCCCAGTACAAAAGCATCCCCAAGAGAAGGGAAGACGCCTACTGGGCAGAGCAAGAGGGACTTTCAGACCCGAAAGAAGCCTTAAATAACCACTTTCTTGTCAACCCAGTGGAAAACACAGATCACCTATTCGCCTGGAAGCATCCTGAGAAAGGCATACATGCACTATCAAAAACTGAGCTCATCAAACACATCTCGAGCATTTCCGCTGTTGCCAATTTACCCAATCTTAAGGGCCACAGCATCCACATTGGAGGCACCCTGGAATATCTCCTTCGCAGTGTCCCATTTGATGTCATCAAATCTATGGGACACTGGTCAAGCGACATGTTCATGCGATACCTACATGATCACACCAGGATTCTAGCGCCGTATATTCAAGCAAACTCCTCCCTCGAGCCATTCACTCGCATCACAATGCCACCGGTGAGATAATCTCGGAAACCCAGAGTGAGTCCACCTCCTTACACACTGGGTTACAAGCTTCGCTGTTTGCGTCATCAACCTCCTAATCATTTGGGACTCACAGCTCACCTTTTTCTCCCAGGTTTGGGCTGGTGTTTTGGACCGGAAAGCACTGCGGGCTTTTGCCCAAACTCTCGTTACTACCTTTTCATAGCTTTTCATTATCAATCGCCCTGTACCCAGTTGCCAATATCACTATCTTTTTTCTTTGATCGGTCACATAGTATTGAAACACATAGTTTGTGTTTGTGTACACACTGGACAGGGCCCTCGGGGCTTAGAAGTAGCGGAAATTTCAAACTCCAATCTCATGCCACATCTGCAAAACCACTGAAATAAATGCTTCTCTTGCCTATGCTAAGCGTTTTACGAACACTTACAGTTGCAGTGATGGAGGGATGCGATTGGTTGGTCAGTCTGATTATCACGTCAGCATGGAGGCGAGATTTTATCAGCGAGTTGATCATCTTATCAATCCAAAAAGCATCTAATCGAGACCAAGATCATTGCACCTGCAGTACTGTATTTACAAATAATGTTGTTACTGGAAAGGACGGTGGCATAAGATCAACACTAAAGAGTATACTCAGTGTCCAACGATTCATGCAACACGTTATAGATCTCCTTGTCTGCATAATGGTTGAGATAAAAGTGGTCATAGTGCTCTTGAGACATTGCTGAAGTCACGGAGCGGTCAAATTTTTCTCCATACACTGGAACCAACTCTGTAGCGTGTGTTACCTTCATTATGGGAATGACAAACCCAGTGCGTGTTTTGGGCTGCATTGCAGGTGTATAGACCCTCTTGAGCCTCCACAATCAAGTGTCCTCTAGATCCTCAGGGGTTGTTATGATACGAAAAGGCTGGACATAGAGGAGGGGGTGCAACAAGAAGTCAGGAAGTATTGCAGTTGAGCGTTGGGGTGGAGCCAGCTGGAATACAATATGAACTTGAGCAACTGAAACTAGACAATAGATGAGTTGTCAGTACATGCCACAATAAGTAATATAAACCAACTTACAACCAGGGTTATTTGTGCTTTGATCTGTGTCCAAGAAAATCACATCACAATTTCCGGATGGAAATGTATCACTCGGTGGTTGTGCTTGGACAGCCCGGCTAGGCATGATAATTGATGGGCGAAATGTCGAATGCAGTTGGATACAGAACTTAGACCAAACCTTGATGGTGCTAAACATCTGGAAGCACCCTTCAACATCATCTGCGTATCACTGAATGTATTCTGTGACCTTGTGATGAAGATCAGGGAGTCCATAGGTGTGCATCACATCAGGCCAGCTGATATTTGAGCAGTCAGGAGTGCGAGTGACTGTAAGTGCTGCATTGGCATTATTGGAGAGGATACCCTTGGTAAAATGGTTACATATGGGCCTGGGGGCACTAAAATGATGTTGTTCATCAGGGGCAACCTGAGAAACCCATGCCATCGTCGGATGCATGGTGTATACTTCCTCATCTTCATCGACAACAGCATTAATGAGAGCTTGGTTGTGTTGGCAAAGGAGGATATATGGATCGAACTGCCGCATCTGCTCTTGACAATCAAGGATGTGGACGATCTGCTCCCCAAAATCTTTCTGTTTGCTCGTCCTTGTGAATGGACTTTTGCAATGTGTGATCAGAAGCCGTTCACTAATATCTGCAGTGAACTGTATCAGTCCGCCATTGTTCCTAATGGACTCCGCAAAGCTCAGAAGGAGTTTGAGTTTTGGTATGTAGAAATCCTCCTTGACGCTGCTTTCCCCCTGACGCACTTCAGCTTCCAGGATTGCCGCCTTGCAATCGTGAAATTCTGGAAGTGATGCTTGCATTGCTTCGATGGTTGATTCTGTATGGATGGGGTTTTGTGCTTGATACATGAAGTTGATGAGAGCATGAATAGGTCGCACAAATTCAGGGGGAGCAGCACCTGAAATCATGGTGACAATGGTGTGCTGGATCTCACGATGCTCTCGTTCAGTCATCTGTGCCACATGTGAGATTCCAGAGGAGAAGTGACGCACACCGATACACTTGTGATGACTCTTGTAGTGTGCGTCAAACTTGTCACTTCCGACCACTTCTTTACACCACTACAACAGATGGTCAAAGAAGAATTTGTGGAGGGTGTGAAGGATTTCGGGGACAAGGAAAATGAAGACCTGGGTAAGTGGCCAGTCGCGCCAGAACAGAAGATGCATGCCTAGAAGAAGAAGCTCCTTTGCCTTCTTCTGGAACCAGTCAAGATTCCACGGGTCAACGAACTGGCTGAGAATGTACAATAGTTCTAGAGTATGCTCCACTGTGTGAGGATTGTGACAGTTGGCATCCCCGAATTGCTTGTGAGCGGCCAATGTGATGGGGGATGTGTTCTTTGACACAGAGGCGATCATCAATTGTTCTGGAAGGTCTGCAATCCAAGCAACGAGAGGGGTAAAGCAATATTGAAGTTCACTGAAGGGATCAGGTATAAACTCACTGACCTTTGCTGCGACTTTTAAGCTGGCAAAGACTAAGTCAACGCACTTGTGCCAGACACGCGACTTCAGGATGGTGTGATAATCAGAATGTGTTTCAAACTTGGGGATTGGTATATATGCCACACATTGCCAAGCATGGGATGTAGCCTTCATACAAACATCAGAGTCAATGTTGCTGATAGTGAGGAAAAGAGGGTGCATTTCGGGACCGCCTGTCTGTCTCGTGACAGGTGTCTTATCTGATGCAGCTATTATGGGCATGATAGTCGCCCCTTCAGGCAGCTGGTTTGGAATGCCATGGTTGATAGTTAAGATGATACAGAAAAGAAGCACATACCTGCATCGAGAATCCTTGATTTGCTGTGAACCACTCTCCATACTCTCGCTGCACACCCTCCCAGACATGTAGAGGGTCAAAAGACATATTTTGAGCGAAAATTGGGTTACCAAAGAGGCTCTTTGCAACTTCAAGACCATTGTGCCATATCAGATTAATGGGAGCGACAGTGGTGTACCCCTGGACTTCAAACTGTGTGGTCTGCCATTTCGGCCGGGAGGTAAAAGGTCCATCCACGACAATAGTTCTTGAGTACTCGAGAATGAGGGCTTGTCTTTCACATCAAACTAATAATGTAGAGTTAGCAAGTAGTATACAGACAGATCATGTAAAATACCCAAGATAGTTTGAGAAAACGATCAATCTCTGTCTGCGTCATGGTCTCAACTAGAAATTTACCGAGTGACCACTCTCCGCGATCACAAAAGGGCCAGTACAGATTGCTCGCCCGTTTTGGCTCATGTTCATCGTTCTGAATTTGCTGAAACATTTTCTGTCCCTCTCTGTAGACATAGCCCAATACTGGATGGTATTGAGCAGTCTGATTGGACTCATCCTCCATGGGATCATCTGCTCCAGACTGCCCATCACGATGTCTGCGAGCTCCATGTAATGCAGGAGGCTTGGCCATGTGTCCTTGAGATTTTGATGGCCAGCATGTCTCGGTGGGATGATTTAGGTGAGCAAGTAAATCATGGATGGATGGAAAACATTGTTGGCAGTCTGAGTTTGGGCAGGTCACGGCAGGATCTCTTGCATTATCAGAAATGATTTGCTGAGGCCAAGGAATATCATCCGCTGGAACATCGTCCATTGTGGTTGCATCCCAGATTGGCATTGGGAAGTTGATTGCAAAAATTCTCTAAGTCTTTCATACTCTGATACTTCCCACTTTGACTGTTGACAGTCAGCACATATCATGATACCTGCCCACCGGCGCCATGCCTCTCTCCCCCAGAGCTCATCTCCCCCCCAGAGCTCATCTCCTCCATCCGGCGACAGACCACTTACCCCACCCACTGTTTTAAATGACTGTTTTGTGAGCCCTCATATTATTCAGGATTATACTCCATCTCTTCCAGCCCATGGTGTTGTCCACCGCCTCTCTCAGTATACAACCCATGCCAAATCAAAATTTACTCCTTATCCACAGCCTGCTGGGCCAAGCGCACCAGAGCTGCATGGGACAAGGAAGTCAATGCTCAGAAATGATCACGCTAATATATCATTAGCTGATGCAAAGTGGTACATTTGACGCTTATCTATCTTATAGTGCAGTATAAATTTAATAATAATGAACAGGGCACTACCATTTTTCAATGCGGCTTGCAGAGCATGGATGATGAGACTATCACGCAAGCTGTTTCTGCAAAGCAAGTGACTCGTGAAAAGTTGCGCTTGCATCTCCTTATGACTGCATGGGAGATAGAGGAGATTGAGTGTCATAAAAGGCTTCTTGGCCTACTTCAGCAGAAGAATGCTCAGGAATATGTTGAAGCATCCAATGAAGCTCATGTGTTTGAAAGGTTCATGACCCACCATGACACGAGCCAGCTCGAAGATGACTTTGACTTTGGTGTTGGAACCTACAAGGAGGAGCTGCTAGCATTCGGCATTTCAGAGGAGCAATTAAATCAACTCGAGGCCTTCGCAGTCAATCACAACTTGCATGACCCCAACCAGACAATCACCAAGGATAAATATTCCACAGACCCCTTCACCAATAGCGCTGAATCAGACAATGAAGACAGAATCTGTTACGATGATGATGAAGACAACGACTTGCATTTCAGAGGTGAAACACCTGAGTGGGCAGAGTTTTTGAATGTGAAAAGCCCATGCCAGAAGTTAGGTCCAACGGAATGGGTGTCAAAGGTGAAGTGTTTGTCTTGGAAGCAAGTTCCAAGGTAACCCCCTCATTCCTCTACTCATATTCAAGTGCTTATATCTATTTCTACAGTGATCAAGTATGTATTAACTGGGTGGACCCATATTCTCAACCAATCCATGTGTAGCTTGGTGTCCTTCTGTTTGTTGTTCAATTCCAATTCAGTGTACTGCATATGATGTGTTTATGTCTCATATTTTGACACGTGTAGATGGTGTTTCCCTTCTTATACTAAATATTGTAGCGCTCAGCTGATCACACCTGATACGATTACACGATCACCATGTGTGTCCAGACTGAATTCTAGGTTCCACCCTCGATTTGCTGCCTTAATGAAATGTGTGTCTAACTTATTGGCTGCCAGTGCTGCTCTTCATTTAGTTGTGTTCCCCTTTCCCCTCAGCTTTTCCAGCTCACTCTAAGTATGCCTCCCAAGAAAGAATTGAAAGGAAAGCGGAAGTTGAAGGTGCAATATTGATTCTTCATCGTCACTACCAACTAATAATTCTTAGCAAATACTGAAATACCCAGAGTCCACAGGGAAGAACCCATATGGAAATAATGCCAGCACTTAGATTGGACTGGCCATAGAGCATCCGGTAGCACCATCCAGACTGGCTATACAGCCACCAGCTGCGTGCCCCCCACAACCAAGGCCACACAGTGCACAATCAATGGCGGGTCCATCAATGGTACCATATGTACAATCCCTGCAGCAGGGGCTACTGCATACATATGATATGATGGTTGGTTCATCAATGGTGTCACGTGCGTGGTCCCTGCAGCAGCACTGTGGGTACAACAAGTGCTGCAGCGAGAAATCAATCTACTACACAGTTGGGTCTTTGCTACCTGCTGCCTCACTTGAGAACAAGTATGTTAGACCCTAAAGGGGATTGCTACTGGGGAGTGCTAGTCTCTGCCTAAACGACCCTAATCAACCCTACCGCAGGTAGGAAGAGGATCCGCAAAAATGCGGAACAAGCAGAACAAGCAGAACTCAAGCAGAATGGAACAGAATGAAGTGGAACTCAACTGGATACAATGCAGAACATACAGATTCATCGGAACTTGCAGATGAAGTTGAAGGAAGTATATCACAAGGTTTGATTGATAGTGGGCATAAGTCAAAGCGGTCCTCTAGTAAGGTGAAGGAAAAGTGGGAGAAAAGTCAGAAGGTAAAAGATGGGATTCAATAAAAAACACCCAAGCCCTCAGTACCACTATTTAAAGGGAAGATTATTTTCAAGGAACACTGAGGTACAGGTAGTAAGTTTCTCAGAAAGTGGAAGTGAAGGTAGGCAGTGCACATGGGCGCAATACTCTGCAATAGGGGTCTGTGCCATAAGGGCATGTGTCATTGTGATGCGGATAACATTAGAAGCAACGGGAAGAGAGATACAGTGTACCAATGGACCTGGAAGGATGGGGACAGGACATGTGAAGGTTGTCTGACAATGCATGGGAATATCGGATAGTGCGGGCGGGTTCTGAAGGATGCATGGGAATGTGGAACCCATCAGACAATCCACGGGAAATGTGGAACGTGCGGAATATGTGAAACTGATGTGAGACGATGCAGAAAGGATGGGGTTTTATGCCCACAGTAGGGGTATTCCCCACAGCGCGGCCCACAGATAAACCCTTCTAGCCAGGACATGATGGGTGGCCCATCAACGATAGTCCATCCCCAGTTTATGCAGCAGTGGCCCTGGCAGATGGACCTCCCTAGCCGGGATATGATGGCGGGCCCATCAACCATACCATGCGCACCATTCTGGCCACATATGACCCCACAGATATCCCCCTCTAACCAGTGATCAATGGTGGGCCCATCAGCCATGCCGCACACATCATTCCTGCCGCATATGGCACCACAGATACCCCCCTCTAACCAGCAATCAATGGCAGGCCCATCAACCATACCGCACACACTATCGATAGCCAGCCCATCAACCATACCACCTGCTCAATTTCAGCATCAGATACCCTCACAGTCCACTACCCCCTTTCAGCACCAATCCCGTGTGCAGACCCCCGCGCTCAATGTAGAAGGAGTCCACTAGGCTATCGAGAACTACAGGTCAGGCCTGAGGATGTGAACAGACCATAGCGATGCATTGGTACGCGTCCCCTCATTATGTGTAGTGAATAGAGCAGCACCATATGAAGCCTATTGCCTCATCATGGCATATGCGAAACCAAGACCAGGCGAACCAGCATGGGGTGAGGAATTCTCAACCGGCATAATACTTGTACATCTTCTGTGTAGTAAATTACATTGACTAATCTAAATATTAGGTCATACCTGGATCCTCAAGAGCCGTTCGCAAGCCTGTCCACCCATGCCTCCTTCCTGTAGAACCTACAGGCACAGGCCACATAGCCCAACCAAGCTCAAGTTCCCCTGCCATTAGCGGTCAATCTCTCGTGTCCAACGGTATCTGACCACCTCCACTGTCATCAGTCACTGTCTCGCGCATTATTGACAGCACCTGCAATGTGTTCAAGAGGGATTTCCTCAACAACTTGATGGTGGCAGGCAACAACCTGAAGGACATGGCACAGTGTGCATTCAATCAGGGAGTGGAAGTGCATTCATTGTCATTGACGATGGACTTGATCAATGCATGGGTGGTTGAAAGCCAAAAAACTGAACTGAAGAAGCTCAGAGCCATTCCAAACACCGTTCAAAGTGTATTCAAAGATGTAGGTCAATCTGCAGCTGATCTTGCTCTCCCTATCAGTGAGCATGGAAAAGAGTTGGTGCACCAGAAGGTTTACATTGATAGCCTCTGCATCGGCTTTGCTTACCTCAACAATCCAGACACTGTAAGTTGCCTTCAAAGTTTCAGATATAACTGTTTCCAAAGTCTGACTCGGACTTACGTAGAATGCAGCATTCGGAAACCTTGCCCTCTACCACATAATCACCCGCGTCTTACACGAGAAGAGGTTTTCTCGGTGGATTGACCCAACCAAGCGTGATCTCAAAAATATCATTGCATTCTCTGGCACAATCTTACTTTGGGCACTGCGGGAGCATGCTGACAGCTCCAACAGCAAATCAGAATTTGTCATTGAGGACAACAGGACAACATTTGATTCAATTGTTGAACATTTGGACAGCCTGTTGCCGTCGCAGAGGGTAGCTGTGGATAAGCTTGTTGAAGACATTTTTGCTGAGATGCAGTAAAGTATTCTTCTGATCCATGAATAGTTACTAATGTTGTTCACTGGGTGTTCAAGTAGAGTCTTTTAATGTTTGTTTGCCAATCATTTATACTCTTGCGACTTCTTATCAATCTTATTGACTTGAATAATCTTATCGATGTTGTAAGCATTTGACTACATATGCAATGGACTATAATCAGATTCCTTGGTCCAAAGACTTCTTTTCATGCTGTTTGCAAGGTCCTGATTGTGAATTTCGACTTTAGGCATGTAGCGTAGATTTATGAACCAATGGTTTTTTGTGAACTTTAAATTAAACCAGAGTCAGTTGAGACACCTTTGACCGACTGGTAGCAAAACTAGTAGATAACACAATTTTTACTTCAACTGGAAAAAACCACAGCGACACGTGAAGTATCAGCTTGGATGTTTTCTTCTTTGATATGGGATGCGTGGATCTGACTCTCTCTGAGTGGCAAAAGAGTTATCAATTGGACATGATTCTGTTTTCAAGCATTGTTGACAGATTAGCAGAGCACTTCAGGAACTAAAGGTTGAGTTCTTGGTGTTTCCAAATGCTGAATGGAAGGAAAGGATTTTAGACTACATCGAGGAGACCTCAGGCTTTCCTGCAGAATGAGGTGCTGGGAGTCATATGTGGAGTTGGTGAGACAGACAGCTGTGAATGTGCAAGCTAGTATTAGTGTAGATCGTCTGATCCTCACAAATGAGCAAGACTTACTGCAAGGAGAGCCTGTGCATACTCATTAGATTCACAAGCCATCAAAAAGCAGCTATTATGGGTATAGGCTGGGGAGGCATGTCAGCTCACATTTCTGCTAGCCAAACAAAACTTACCTAGGCCACTAGTGATGATTGCTCCTGTATGGAGCGCTTTTTCAATGATCAATGAAACAGAGTGCATGTTATTCATGAATTTTGATGGATGCCGGGTGCTTGCCGAATGTTAAGCGATGTCATTAGGTGACAAGTGAACTCCACTAGTGAACTGAGCCAAAGAATTGAGCAGCCCTACTAATGCTAGAGTATATGGCAACCTGTTACCATTCCAAAATACTTCAGCTCCCAATGGTGTGAGAAATGCAAGTCCCTGAACGCATCACTTACATACCTGGGCAGGACTCCAACCACTGCTCCTGATATGTAACACTCTATATTGGTGAATGGTAAGCAAAGGCACTATATAAGCATTGGGCAAGTTGGTATGTGTGCCCTCAGTGCACTACTTGCAAACCTTAACCTGCAACTGTCACATTCCTCATCCTGCTGCAAGGGTGTTCAGCAGGTCTGTGTCAGTGGCAGACACTTCTCTGTGTCCATTCTGCATGCCTTCATGGCCTACAGCCTCTCCCAAGTCCACTGATGCATGGCGGACTCAAATGTAGTTGGTGATGTGTCGCTGATGTAGCACATGGTGTCCCATACCTAGTCACATGTTGTATTAGTAGTGGTTCAATTAAATCATGCATTTCTTAACACAGTGGTGATGACAATGAGTGGCATGACTATGGATTGGACCAGCACCTGACAATGCTCATAAACAAGGGCTGCTGCAGTAGCCTTCAAAGTAGGGCATAAGCTGAACATGACTGAGTGGTATGGCAGCGAGTTGTCATTGAAATGCCCGTACTAGCCTTGCCATAGTGAGATGTAGAGACCCATTCTGACCTACATCAATGAGTTAGTAACAGCTGCAAAGAAATAAGGTTGAGTCTACAATTTACCTTGAGTAAGGATGTGAAGATAAGCAGACTCAAGTTCCACTGTGTGTCATGCTTCATTGAGGTTGACTGCAAAAAAAAAACATAAAACAAATGCAGTAGAAAACAATGAAAGATAGAACTCATGTGAAAAGTCACATTGGCTTGGATTGTGGTGACAAAGCGCCATGGAATGACCTATGTTGTTGGTAGAGATGTTGTTGGTAGAGAAGTGAACAGGAACATGCTCGTTGGTCACAAGAGTACAAAAACACTCCCAGGCGATGTTGCAGCACATGCACCATGCTTGAAGTCCACTAGCAACAACATACACTGCTGTATACCTACAGATGGGACTACATTGAGTCAGTAGTGTTAGTGTTTGGTGTGCAGTATAACTTACTAGGCAATTTTGATAGCACTACCAGCTTCATGAGAGAATATTGAGAGTTCTACACTAGCATGCTGAAGTCCAATGGAGACCTCAAACATCTCACCATAGACAGGCATGATCAGAGAGGGAGCAAAAGTTCAAGTTGGGTGGTGTGGACACAAGTGAGATGAGGAGGGTAGATGAGTATGTGCAGCTTTTATCTGAGTCTTGGGAGTGCTTCTCAAAGCCGGGGACCTTGGCTCCAAGTCAGGGACAGACTAGATATGATGCAAACTTGACATCTGAAATATTTGAGGCTAGAACAATGATGGAGCTGACAAATTGTTCCAGATTGTGCATGAGACTGCACTCTCAAGTTGAAGTTGAACATGCCATGTAGTAAGAGAGTCAGCTGAAAATATTAGTACCTGTATCATTCTCCACTGCACTCAAGAGATGTTCCAATAAGACTCACTAATGCTTTCCCATTCCGTTAACAGCTTAATATCCTGAATCGTGATCTGTGGCATTCATCCTTCTGGACCAAGCAAAAACCCTACCCTCTCATGATCCAAACAGCTCCAATAACCTTGATATGCACTAGAGGCCTGGAGACCAATTTGTTGATGTCTGCAATTGAATAGAGCCCCCAGGGTCCTGCTGTGAGATGCAAAGCTAATGTGAGCTAGAAGATCGAAAAAAAAACCAATCTGGGTGTTATCTCACTGGCGATGGTACATGTTGCAGTGGTGGAGGTGGAAAAAGAGTAAAGAAGTGCTGAAATGCAAATGTCCTTACTGGATATGGTAATTATAAAGTGTTGTGGTCTTGCCCAACAGTTAGTCCTCACATACTCAAAGTCAATCCCGTCAGCGAAAACTCACAGCATTATCGCCAGTGCAATTCGCTGTCATGAACATATAAGAGCAACCTTTGTAGGTATGTTTCAAGCTCACTGCTGTGGCATATCTCACAATGCTCTGCTATTCAGAGTGCATAAATACTTCTAGATAATGTTGGTCTTTCTCCATGCGATCTCAACTCCCCATCACCACCATCAACTTGCTCTCCCATACCCAGTGTTTCAGAATTGCCAGCTTCCACTAGCCCTTGCCTAACTGTTCTTGGTTTTCACTACAACCCACCTGCTGCCCAACTTTTCACCCATGATGATCAACAACTTGGATGTGACCGTTTCACTCGAAAGAGTGTTGCACATGCATTTATCAAACATCCTCTTGGTGCCATCATGGAATATCCTCAAACTGGTGATGTTACGCCGAAGTATAACGCAGGCAAAACAATAGCCAATAAGACCAAAGGTCTGTCGATACGTTCAAGACAACAGTCTTAAGAACGTCCTAAGTAGAGTCAAGGCTAAGTACCGAAGAGGTAACTTAGAATCAAGTCAGATGTTCAGAGGAAAACCAGCGTAGGTTAAGCTGAAGAATCAGCGTCACCTAGCCAGGGTTTATATAGGATACTGGGTACAGGGTGTGACGTAATAATAGGTATGTATCAGTAAGCACATGCGTAAGCAATGAGGCGTCTGAGTAATACCGAACTAAATATAACATGATAAGAGACATGCGTAGTAAGCGTGGATCAAGGGAAAAAGAAGCAAAGTAAACACAGCCGTAACAGGTGATAGTTATGATCAGTCAATTGTGCATATCTTCAACATTGATCCCTCTACCTATCACAGCTCTCAGCACCCAAAGGCCCATTTTCAATACTCTTTGGGTGATGCACATGGAGGACATGACATATTTAAGTGTTTGATGCTGTGAGATGCTCAAAAACAGTCTGTATCTTGCTCTAACCTCAAGACATCATGTAAGAATCCCGCTTGCAGTTAACTCAGGCTGTACCATATCTAATGCATTACACCCAGGCAAAGGGCTTAAAATTTGCTCTGCACAACCACACAATACCACAACTCATCATTTCACCAATCTCTTAGAGGTCTCTGCTTTAATTATTGCTACCACTACTGCAGCAAAATCCTCAAATGATGCTGAGAAGGAGGTTTTTCAGAAGACTTTTGCTTTTTTTGTTGCTCTTCAAGAACATGGGTGCACATCTGATGCTGAACTTGACTCCAACACTTCCGTGAATGCTGACGAGTCAGATGTTACCAATGATGCTCAGGCTGCTGTCTTCACCAAGGATGGTCTTACAACTGATCAGTATCTCGATGAAACTACACTTGACTCAGACTTGGATCAGGAATGCTCACCTTCAAGTCAATGGCCAGTAAATAGATCATGGTGTCAGCAGAAGCTTGTCATGGAGTTCAACAAATTTAATCAACCTTACATCTGGTGACTTGTTTCTCACTTGAAGACAACAGCATAAATGACTGACTTGCATTTGTTTTGTAGTTGCAAAGGACAATCTTGACACAGCTGTGCTCACTTGCTTATCCACAACATTCAAGAGTGTGGCACTCGATATCTCCAAGCCTTACTCAAAGATAACAAGCATATCATCACAGAATGTGAAGATCTTGCTAAATCTTCAGGATATGGTCCCCTTATTTTATGCAACTATGTGACAAGTCCTTTGTCACAAAGACAGCTTTGTTGTAAGTCAATTTTCTTTGGCAGATAATTAGTTGTAGAACATTGATGGCTGACACTTGATTTGCAGCTCACTGGAATCATTGGCCGGATGGAAAACTTAAGCAGGGAGTGCTCTGCAAATGGGGGCATAATTGTAGCGCAAAATTCGATGTTTTCACTCCACATGACCTACATGCATGTCCACGTATCCTTGTTGTCTGTCGAAACCCCCACTCACACCCATCACCTGCACCTGTCAAAACTCCACCAGGGCTTTTCAACTTATTTCATGGATTGTTAGCATTGATGAAATGGAAACTTGCTGATGTGACACCCCGGCGGATTTTTCTCAATAGTGCGTTCATAGAAGGGCTTCATCATGCACTCGCATAGGACTTAACATTATCTGGTTGAGATGCAATGCTCCAGGATATCCACCCATCCTTGGCCAACTTAGACCATGTTTGACATCTCATCACCACACTTTGGAACATGAAGTATCCAAGTGGTACTGGCTTCGAAGGTATGCAACCTCTTCTCATTGACTCACATTCCATATTCTGAAGCACATATATTATAGGTGCTTATCTGCTGGCAGATGAACATGCAAGCCTCGCTCCTGAACAACATTATGTTCATTGCACCAAGGTGCATCCAATTGAGCATGGAAAAGAGTCCAAACTGGTTATCTGCATAACAATGAAGATGTCCCAACACCTCTTACAAGCAAAATGCCTCTCTATAGACACATCGTTCAAACATGTGCAAGGCTGGCAGGAATTTGAAATTGAATTGTGGGATGTTGACCATATGCGATGTAAGTCAAGTTGTCTCCTTCATAACACAAACTCATCTTGCTATTCAGCCATTGTTGGTGCTTGAGCTTTCATAATGTCACAGACAGCAAAGGCCCATATTATCCTTTTCTAGTGCATATTCAAGATTGCAAGTGTGGATATGGGCCTGCCCATAATGTTCCATCATATTTATGGTGCTGGATTTGAGACTGTCATTGCTGACAGTCATAAAGGCCAAGGACTTGGTATGTACACTGTCTTCAGAATCATGGTGTTCATGTGAGTAACGGATGATCCAGGTCTTGGGATGTACTGCATGCAGCTATGTTATTCAGTTACCATGCCGTGTATGTATGAACCACACTGCCGTATTTGTAATCTCAACCCATATAATCATTTATGGTGTGTTTTTTCATATTTGTGTCACACACTACAAGAGAAATGTACTCGCATTGCATATACATGTGCCACAGGATGTTTTTTCTGCAATGCTAAGTTTAGCTATATTGGAGTGTCACCTAGACCTTGAAGCAACATTGAATATCATTCAGAGCAGAGGGTTGAAAGCCTTAGGTGAAATTTTTTGCCATACTTTCCTGCTGAATTTGCTAACTTGTTCACTAACAGCATGGCTCAGAGATAAGCTGGATGGCACAAAGTTTGCACTGCCCGCAATTTACCAGCCAGCCAGCCTCATTCCAATGCATTTGTGGAGGGCCTCCCCAGCCATGACAAATGGAAACAAGCAAGCACACCATAATGCCTATCGTGAGGGTGTTCATCTAACACTGCTTGCTGGTGTCATGAAAGGAATGAGATATGACCAAAGTGCAATGACAAGCATTGACATGCACACAAGCTTGGGCATCACAACACACAATCACAAGGCCACACATGTTCACCACACAACAAGATGTATTAGTCATCAAGGTTTGTGCGAGCAAATCAATCATGTTTTGAATGAAACATTGATAAAATGTATCAGTTGCAGTGCAGCACTGCCGTATCACAACAAAGAACACTTCCAATCCATGAAACAATGTTGTGGCACCCCCTTGCCCTTGCCAACCAGCTATATGCCAGTTAAATATAGCACCTTCTCTCGAAATGCCTGCAGTTGTGTATGAGCATCACAAGGCTGCAGAAATCACCAACTCAGATGATGCCATGCACTTTCTGACCTTACATAGGCCATCTACTGTGGTGCAGCTCAGCTCACATAACTCGTTGTCTGCAGCATTGGTTGTTGGTGCGAGTGTCCATGAGTACTGGCCACCAAAGATAATAGCACCTCCAATGGTCGATGGCACAAGTTCTGAACATCCAGTGGTGATATCATCGTACAGTACACTTGCAGGTGCTCTGGATGATTGGAGTTGGTTACATCTGGGTTTTGATTCAGTAGCCTGGGAAGATTTAATTGAAGCAAGCCCAGCAGTAGACCAGGTGCCTGCCAGAGTGAATGATATTGACTATGAGGCAGTCACATATCAGCCACCCACTACTCAGATGGAAGACGATGACATACCATTACACCACACCAACACAATCACTATACCAATGACTAACTTCAGCTCCATTGCAGCTGCCCTTGATGAAGGATTCTACAGTTGGTGGTGAGGAGAGAAGTGGTTGTTGTTGGAGACAGTTAAGAAGGGAGGGGAAGTCCTGGGCATGAGTAATGTGCTAGATAGAGAAGGGAGGGAAGGCTGGGCACAATGACATGTCAGGTATAGGTATTGAGGAAAATACTCAGCTTTGTACCTTTGTGAGGAAGTTCACGGGGTCCAACCCTTACTAAATAATGTCAGTTGAATGGTAACATGCTTTCTGAAAGATAGAGAGCCAATCTATTTTGGAATGGTAATAGGTCACACATCACTCCTAATGCTAGGTGTGCTCAATTCTTAAGTTGTCAGGTCAAGAGTTATCAAGTTCCACCGTGCCTTAGAGCCAAACAATTTAGCTGACCAGTGAGACTCCATTTGGGCACCATAGCCACTGTGCTTACTCCACCTTATCAATGTGTTCTCACATTGTCACATAACACAGTGTGCTTGTTAGTATGCAGCAAAAATGGGATGAGCTCTTAACTGTCCTTTCTGCTTCTGCTCATCACTGGTCAGCAGACTACAGTGAAGTGAAGTGACTTCAAGGTAACTTTGCTTCACTTCGAAAATGTGGGACTTCGGTTGACTTCATTGTACCAAAGTCGGTTGAAGTGTCACTTCAAGAGGTGAATCAAAGTTACTACCAATTAGATTAATCATTATCACTACAACTCTGAAGCCCTGGATGCACCTCCTGTCTCTATCATATTTCAATGATAAAATATCACTGATCATCCTAAGTACACCCAATATGATCCCTCTTGCACATGGTATTGAACATTTGCTGTACTACTGAAGTAGGTTGGTTCTACCATTGAATTGCAATTTACAACAACAGTTGCCCTGAAAGTTTGTGGGACATGCATATAACCTTGCTGTCTGTATCTTGAAACAAAAATTCTTCCACTGCTCTCCATGTACTGCCCAATAGTGAATCATGCCACAGCTGAACACAAAACTGATCTTGTTTGTGTTTGGGAGGTAGTACGTGCACTCTGTCCCTTCTGAATGTGTCTTCTCATCTAGCAAAGAGACTCAAGTTGCACACTTTGGCAGGCCAACCTCTCAAGTTCTCTTACAAGGAAGACTGGCTGAATTTCAGGTTGAATTTTGTTGCTGACACCTGAGACAGTACCAAGTTTGATAGAGGAGAATATTGGGTACATATGCTATAAAATATTTTAGATATTTCACCTAATATGTCAGTGAAACAAATAATGAGCAAATGTAAAATTAGATCTTGACTTTGATTGGCTGTCAAATTTGACTTCAATTGTTGAATCTATTTTAGAATATAAAGGGGGGCATCTATTAGAGGTATGGGATATGACAGTATCCCCCCCTTAGGGCCGAGCCCTCGAGGCTTAAATGACTCATAACTCAGCGAGAGGACTGGGTTTGCTTGGACAGGCAGAGTGGAAGCCTGAGACGAGTTCCAACACATTTCCGAGTTCCGTGGTGAGGAGCTAGGAAGTTTCTTCGTCCGTGCCTTCATAACCAGTCCAATGTACCAGGTACAGGAGTTGGCAATGTCGCTGTCAGTGGTCAAGCTTGGAGTCCAGGATCTCGGAGATTTCATACTCTGGTTCTCCGTCTACTTCAACTGCAGGTGGGGTTGGCTGGATATGATTAGGGATGGTGTTCGGAGTTGTGGGCTCCAACTGCGAGATGTGGAATACAGGATGTACAGATCGTATGGAGTCCGGAAGGCGGATGGTGAAGGAATGGGTACCGGGATGGGAACTGATGTCAAAGGGTCCTAGGTTCTTTTCCGATAATTTCTTGGAAGGCCGGGTGGAATAGAAATATTTTGCTTTAATGAACACTTGGTCCCCAACCTTGAAGTCCAGAGTGGACTTTTGTCTGGCATTGGTGGGGCCCTGGTAATGTTCTTGGGTGTGAGACATTTCTTCCTGGAGGAATTGGTGAAGCTCATCTAGGTCTACAGCAAAATCCCAGGCTCGGGCGGAGGAGAGGTCTCATTCTGGGTATACAGAGATGTTGGGATGGTATCCCTTATTGGCAAAAAATGGTGATACTCCGGTGGTAGCGCTCGGAGCGTTGTTGTATGCGAACTCCACTAAAGGAAGGAGCTTGGACCAGTTATCCTGCTGATAATTGCAGTAGATCCAGAGATATTGCTCTAGGGTCTGGTGGGCGCGTTCGGTCTGGCCATCACCCTCTGGATGGTAACTGGAGGTGAAGTGGAGTATCATGTCTAATGCTTTTCTGAGAGACCAGAAGAAGTGGGATATGAATTCTGTGCCTCGGTCGGAAGTGACGTGAGACAGAACTCCGTGTTTAGAGAAGACATGGAGAAGGAAGAGTCAGGTGAGGTCTGGAGAGGTGATGGTGTCATGTGTGGGAACAAATATTGCCTGCTTGGACAGACAATCTATGATGACGAGGATTGCTGTGAAGCTGGAGAAGATTGGGAGTTGTTCTATGAAGTCCATGGAGATGGAATTCCATGGCCTTCTGGGAATGGGGAGTTGTTTGAGCAATCTGTAGGGCTTATGTCTCGGAACTTTGGCTCAGGTGCAAGTAGTGCAGGACTTGACATAATCCTTGACATAGGTGCGTATTCCGGGCCAGATGTATTCATGCTGGATAAGTTCCAACATCCGGTTTTGACCAAAGTGTCCAGATAGGAAATGGTCGTGAGTATTTTGGAGGACACAAAGATGGAGATCATTGGTTAGCAGGACATATATGCAATTGTCACAACGGAGGAGTCCGTTGTCATCTCCTGTCCATCTTGGGTCTGAAGGTTCCAGGAGATGATTGGAGGCAATGGGGTCAGCAGGAAGGGCGGCTAAAATATCTTTTTGGAGGCTTTCGATATCCATGACTACAGCTACTTGTAGTACTGGAGTAGCTAGAGTTGATGCTCATAGGGATGAGGCAAGCTGTTCTGTGGTGAATACTGGTTGGAGGTTATGAGGGTTAACTCGAGTGTAGTCCTTATCCCCCTCTTTGGGATAGATGTCCCAACATCTAGTAAGGGAGTCTGGTTTAGCTCCAAGCTTTCCGGGATGGAAGCGGATGATGAGATTGAAATGATGGAGGAATTCCAACCATCACGCCTGACAGCACAAGAGAAGTTTGGTGGTGGCAAAGTATTTGAGGTTTTTGTGGTTGGTGACTACATCAATGGGTTGGGAGGAGCCTTCTAGGTAGTGCCGCCAGGTCTGGAAAGCTTCGTAGATGGCCAGGAGTTCCTTATCATGGGTATTATAGTTGAGCTCTGGAGCTGTAAGCATTCTGGAGTAGAACACCACCAGACAGAGTTCTGAGTCCGGACAAATGATGGAGAGAATTCCGGCAATGGCATAGTCAGAGGCATCTGTTTCTACAATGATGGGAATGTCTGGCATCCAGTGCATCAACACCGGAGCTGTGGTGAAAGCCTCCTTGAGTGTTTGGAAGGATCACTGGCACTCATTGGAGAAATTCCATGGAGTGTCTTTGCAAGCGAGGTGAGTGAGGGGAACTACAGTATCTGAGTAGTTGAATATGAAGCGACGGTAGAAGTTGGTGAATCCGAGAAATGATTGAATGTCCTTGACTTTCCGGGGTTCTGGCCAGTCACAAATGGCTTGGATCTTGGTGGGTGACATGGTAAGGCTGTCCAGAGATAGGAGGTAGCCAAGGTATTCTATGGAGCTCGAGTGGAATTCGCATTTTTCCAGTTTGGCATAGAGGCAATGTTTTCGGAGTTGTTGGAGAACTTCATGGACATGTAGTTTGTGGGAGGCGAGGTCTTGGGAATAGATGAGGATGTCGTCCAGATACACAATAACACAAATGTCAAGCATGTCGGCAAAGATGCTATTGACAAAACACTGGAAGGCCGCCAGAGCATTGGTAAGTCCTTCGGGCATGACAAACCATTCATGGGAGCCGTAGCGCATCTGGAATGCAGTTTTCCACTCATCTCCATCTGCTACCCGGATGAGGTGATAAGCAGACTGGAGGTCGATCTTGGTGTAAACTTTTGCACAGCTTGGAGAATCTAAGAGGTCAGCAATGAGGGGCAGGGGATAGCGGTCTTTCTTGGTAATCTGGTTGAGCCCTCAGAAGTCCACACAGAGGTGTAGAGAGCCATCCTTCTTTTTGACAAACAGGATGGGGGCTCTGTGCAGAGAGGAGGAGGAATGGAGCAGGCCAGCTGCAATATTTTCGTCAAGGAACTTCTGGAGAGCTTCAAACTC